ACACACACACACACACACCGTCTTTCTCGTAAATCTTATCCACTCTCTTCCGCCAGGTGTGTTCGGTGCTAATGGCGACAGCCACCGTTAACCATTTCTGTTTCAACTCGTTCAAACCAACCAGGACGGCAACTCGGTCCGAGTCTCCCAGACTTAGCGCTCACTCGGTCAGGTGCTGTAGCAGTACTAGTAGTAGTACGGGAATCGCCGAAGCGGAGCGAGTGACGGTGAAGAACGGGAAGGATTCGCTGGAGATATGCAGAGTGCTGAACGGAATGTGGCAGACGAGCGGCGGATGGGGAAGAATCGACCGAAACGACGCCGTCGACGCCATGCTTCGCTACGCCGATGCCGGTCTCTCCACCTTCGACATGGCCGATCACTGTACGTTTATTATTTATTTATTTATTTATTTTGGGGGTTCAGTTTTAACAACCACTGTACGATGTCTTTTTAAGAAGAATACGACAGTTATCATTCAGCAGCGAAAAGAAGAATACGACAAGCGGACGTGGCTTTAGTGGGTTTTTACTCTTTTTTTTTTTTTGGCTTCAAACGTGGCTTTATATTGTCCAAAAACACATTTTTCTTTTCCTTTTTTCTGCTCCCACAAAAAAAAAAAAAAAAGTGTTTATGTAGCTAACTAAAAGCGACAACTGACATTTTGGATTTTGGTATTCCTTGTTTATTGTAACTTGCTGAAATTTAACTTTCACAAATAAAATAACTTACTAAAATTTAAATTCTTCTCAACCAAAAGGGCCACCAAACAAATGGCAAAACCAAGTTGGAAGCCAAGAATTGAATATGTAGTGACAGAGGAAAACAGAAGAGCAATGGTTAAGAATGGCAATGATTCCATAGACATATGTCGTGTTGTGAATGGGATGTGGCAGGCAAACGAGTGGTGGGTGGGGTCGGATTGAGAGAGACACTGCTGTTGATGCCATGGGCAAACATGCTAATTCTGACTCACTACTTTTGATGTGGCTGATATATGTAATGCACCTAATTTAGTTTTTAACTACTGTCTTCCTAGGAGTTGTTTTGGAAGGAAATGAGTTTAATTAGTTATTATGAAATTTTATGTTGTGAATTTGAATTGTGGAAGTTATTTTGTTTTCCATGTTTGATTTGCTCTTTGAAATTCTAGATGGCCCGGCTGAAGATTTGTATGGTCTTTTCATCAACCGGGTTCGCCGAGAGCGCCCACCGGAGTTCTTGGATACGGTTAAAGGGTAAGTTGCTTACACTTTACTAAGTGTTGACAGAAGACTAATATGTTTTTTTATTTTTCTTTCAAGGATGAGAGATTACTTCAGCTTGTGATTCTCTGTATTCCATGTGTTTTTGAATATTTGGGATGCATAAAAAAGGAAAAGTGCTCAATCGACATTGTGTATTGACAAGCAGTCTTACAAAGTGGGTGCCGCCGCCTGTTAAGATGACGAGTGGTTATGTAAGGGAGAACATCGATCTTTCTCGGAGGAGAATGGATGTCCCTGCATTGGACATGCTTCAGTTTCATTGGTATTGAACATTCTTCCATTCGTTTTAACAAATCTATTTTATGTTTTATTTTTTGTTTATGCATATGATCTGATATTTTTAACTAAACTGCTTTTATTGCGAATACTTGACAACATCTCATATTATGTTCAAATTTGAGATAAAAGTTTCAGAAATGATGTACCCAGTTCATGATGCATGTTAGCTGGTGTGAAAAACAGTTTGGTATAGAAAAAGAAAACTTATACCATGATCAAATTATTTGTTGAATTGAGGGCTCTTTTTTTGGGGACAATGTTTCCGAATTTACCTTTCTATGAATCACAGTACAATCTTAACCTAGTTCCGTTTTCTTTATCTCTCGATTTAAGCCAGCTAAGCTCAGTTTTAATTGATTACGGCTCTTGCATATACTGGACAAGCAGGAATCAAAAGTTTCTGATTTGTTAGATTTCTTCTGTCATGCTACTACCCAGTATAGCAAAGCATATCTTTATTATATCAACACACTGTAAACAGTTAGAGCTTATCTTTTTCTGTTCAACAGATTAACTACTTGTACTAGCCTAAAAATGTAATATTAGGCTTCTTTAATGGGGTTTATTGTTTTGACTATGTGACGTAGAACGAGTGGAAAGAAGAGAATTGAGAAAGATAGAGAGAGACTTAGAGAGAGATTAGAGAAGAACTAAGAAGAAACTGAGAAGAAACTGAGAGCAGAAGAAGAACTCGAGAGGGAGGAAATTCACTGAAATTATTCATTCATCAAAAGCAGTCTGAATTGTCTATAACAAGGTAGCCAATTTAGAGGCTAATTACAAAACCAAAACCATAAACTAATTAAATGCATAAAATCAAACGCAAAATAAAAGAAATCAAATAAAAATCAATCCTAATCAATCTAATTTATTTTCCATATTTATCTTCTTTAAAGTCAACTTCTTATTCTTCATCACTATATTTTTCACTTATGAAACAGGTGGGATTATTCAAATTCTGGTTACCTTGATGCCTTAAAACACCTTACAGACTTGAAAGAAGAAGGTAGGATACTATCTTTTTTATTTACAGGAAAGATATCGAGTCCTCGTTTTATACTCTGATAGGTTTGACTCGATGTTCACAAATGCTCGTGCAGGTAAAATTAAGACTATTGCCTTGACAAACTTTGACACGGAGAGACTACAAATAATCTTGGAAAATGATATTCCTGTTGTAAGCAATCAGGTATATTCTTCTTACACGTATTCATTTCAAGTCTTTCTTCCCAAGATGCTTTGTACACATCCCAAATTTCTGATTTATTGTCGAATGTTTTAGGTGCAACATTCAATTGTTGACATGCGTCCACAACAGAAAATGGCAGAGCTCTGCCAGCTTACTGGAGTGAAACTTATAACGTCTCTCTCTCTCTCTCTCTCTCTCTCTCTCTCACACACACACACACGCGCGCGCGCGCGACGCGGAAAACAAACGCACAGTGATTTTATTGTGTCAAGCATCCACAAATATGATGAATCCCTTTGTACATAAAAGAATCCTTTTTCAAATTATCTGACTCTGTTTGAGTTGGCCAAAAAGACGGCATTTAATTACGAATGGAGGAGCCTTAAAGGGGGTTCCACTTTTGTACACGTTGATAATGCCTTTTATACTCACTACTGGTTATTTAGCATCCCTCTGCATTCTTTTTTTAATATACGATAGTTCCCAAATGCAGGTATGGTACAGTATTGGGTGGTCTATTATCTGAAAAGTTCCTAGACACCAACTTGTCTATTCCATTTGCTGGTCCTCCACTAAATACTCCCTCGCTTCAAAAGTATAAACGGGTACGTGCTCCAACATTCTCATATTGAGGCATAATTATATAGAAGTTTAGCTAACTATAAATATCATAGCAAAGCAAAGAACTCAAATCCTGGGAAGCCAGTTGTTCTGTGAATAATATTTTTGACAGGCCGCCGATAGATGAAAAATTTTTATATTGAGATTGTGGGAAGAACTCTTGGTATAAAAGTTTCATTAGTGTTGTGATGCCTGAGATTCGCTTTCAAACTTTTACGACTTCACTTATGATGCTTCTCAGCTAGTTAAAAATTGTTGATAAATACCGCATCGTTCCGGGGATGAATTATATCTTTTGAAAATTAAGAGTGTGCTTATTGTCCATGTGGCCTGTATGTAGTTTAAAATGTGCTATTATAACTTTTGCAATATATGTCACAGATGATTGATGCTTGGGGAGGATGGAATCTGTTTCAAGTTTTGCTTCAGACCCTCAAAAGAGTGGCTTCAAAACACGGGGTCTCAATTCCAACAGTTGCTGTTAGATACATACTTGATCAAGTAATGAAACTTCACCTGTTATGTCGGAAAAGAAAATGCATGGTGTTGTTTTTCACCTTTCGAAAAATTTACGTCCCGTAAGTGACAATTCGTGCATCGTTTTTCTTTTTTGAAATTGCAGCCGGCTGTGGCAGGATCAATGATCGGTGTACGACTTGGGTTGTCGGAGCATATCCGAGACTCGAATGCCATCTTCTCTCTTTCTCTTGATGAAGAAGATGTGAATAGCATACAGGGAGTTTCTCAAAAAGGTAAAGATCTGCTTAGAGTAATCGGTGACTGCGGCGATGAATACAGGCGTATTTGAACTCATACATTGATAAGATATTGCAAGTCAAACTCCAGTCTGTGTTTTGTAACTTGTAAGCCGGAGCAAATTTTGTACGTTTTATATGCCTTGTGCATATTTATTAAATTATACTTGTAAAGGAAGATTGTGGGTGATTCAAGTACAATCCAAAAGCTCAAAAAAAAAAAAAAAAATTGTATAAGAAATTAAACTTTATGCTCTCCAGAGTTCGTTTCACAAATTCTGTCGTTTTCACAATTGAGGTTCCCTTGTGTCTGTGGAGCCCAAGGTTTTACTACTGTTGGCTATATTTATATTCTTTATGGATTACTGAACATAAGATGTTGTCATGATTATAAAATGAAAATCAAACAAACAGACAAACAAAACAAAATATTGTTATAAAAATAAAAATAAAAACAAATATTGTTCATAACTATAACGTATTATTCCCACATGTAAATATTACAAAAAATAAATAGTTCTAAATATGTATTTTGAATATCATAAAAATATTTTCCAAGATTATATTATAATATTGAAAATTTATTGTTTCGAGTATGACTACAGAAATGAGAATTTTTTTTCGTGACTGTTTTTGAAATTGTGTTTGATTATTTTTTTTTTGAGAGATATAGCCTTAGAAAATAAAATTGGAAACGTGAAGAAAGCTTTCGACCATTTTCTATTGTGTCATTAAAAATTATTCTCACAACTTTTTGTTTTCGTTATGGTTATTAAAACATTTACTAATCAAATGAGATTATAATATTTTAAAAATACACAATATTAATCAAGCTCCACAAAGAGCTCACACCTGAAGTACATGAATTTAACTAGTGTAAAATAAATAGGCGAATGCAACATAACTCTTTTACTGTCTTACTTGCAACACGTACTAAGTACAATAATATTTTGTTTCTACAGCAATAATTGATAATTTATAGCACTTGAATTGAAAAAATATAATACAAATAAAAAATGATATGAATTCTAAACTCGGATCAGAAAAGTGAACGGGCCGTAATATATATGAGGATTCTCTTTTATTCTCCGCAAACATTAGGTGCGTCGGTTTGAGGTTTATACAATAATAAGCCCATAGTATTATGGGCTTTTGGCCCATTACGAGTTCTCACTCATAAGGAAGTACGCAAAAAAGTCCCACGTCGCTTAGATAATGAAAAATGGTTCGAATTTTATTTTCCAACTTTGCCCCCCCTATTTTTCTACGATTTTACCCAAACACCCTCAGTGTAATGTAGTCTAAGGCAACTGGTTGTTGGGAAGAACTATCGTTGAACTTGTCCGCAGCAGATGATCTTCTCGTTTCTTATATTTTGCATAAATTTTGCTCTCTGAAATTTTCTTAAAAGCTTGGAGTTTTTAGCCATGAAATTTTTTCTTAGCACTTTAGTCCCTAAATTTTTAAAACAGCGGCAAATAACTTCATTTTTGGGTTAAATTGTAGAACCTTTTTGAGACTAATATACGGAATGAATTGCATAAAAAGAGAGAGAGAGAGAAAAAAAATGCCAATAAATAGAATTTTAGGAGTATATGTACTAGAAGAAATTTAGTCCAAAATTTAACGTTCTTTAATTATTGGAGTTAATTACTATTATTTTGTAAAGTCTTAAACTAAAATTCCAAGAAAAAAAATTCAGAAATAAAAGTGTCAAAACACACGAAGTATAAGAGATTTTGGTGCCAACCTTTGTAAATTTGATTAAAAATGATTGCAGATAATTTTTGTTAGGATGCCGTATTTTCTAAGAAATAACGCTGAAGCTCTTTTATGTTCTTTCTTGTCATATTAAGTTTATTAAACTGGGTGATGCCAAATGAGAAAAATTTAGTACTTTAGATGGCCGTGTCTAAAATTAATTAACTATTACACAAGTATACCTTTCTCTTTTTAGTTTTTTCCCCTCAATTTATCATTTTATTTTTAAAAACTACATAAATATCTTTTGAATTTGAAAAATATGTTTCAATTTCACCCTCTGTACTTTATTGCACGAAAAAATTGTGAAAGACAACAAAAGTACATTTAATAGTTCTTGAAAAATAATTTAAGAAAATCGTGGACGTTTGGTTGATAGATTCAGAATTGTGATTCAGAACCATTCTTTATTTACGTGTGTTTTTTATGAGAGAAAATACTGTAACGAACCATGATTCGAATCATGGCATGAATCTAGCAACCAAACATTCGAATTGAAACGTGTTGCGGATCTCCTTGAAAATTTGATTTCCTTGAAAAATACTATGGGTTGCGGATCTACTTTACTTCAAATTTGGTGTTTCATTTTCCGAAACTATTTAAGGTTTTTTTTTTTTTTGTCCCCTTTTTATTGTGAGCCGTGAAATAGAAATAAATTTCTTAAATATAAACCATACTTTCATAGTTTCAAATAGTAGTAGGATAAATTGAGAAAATGTTGAACTAAATTTATGTAATTAGCTTATACTAAATTATCATGAAATTAAATAGAATATCGAAACGTGGTTTTTCAACATTTTGATAGCATGACCATCACAGATGTCGATTATTAGATTTAGATATGATCTGTTATCAATCCTACTAGGATCCTAGTAGGAAGAGTTTGTTTTTTCTTTTGTTTCTCTTTTTATTTTTATTTAAGGAAATCTTGTAGCATGTCTAGCTACATTAAACCATTAGATAATAGATAGAACACAAGGAGAACATTTTTCTAGCCCTAGTAAAGAGCATATAGATAAGTGCAGAGATGAAGTTAAAAAACATAGAGCACGTTTGGAACTCGTTCTAAAATAATTTTATTTTTTGTATGAAAATGAAAATTAAAACGTTTTCAATCTCAGGCAGAAATTATTTTTAAAAATGTGTTTGATAGTTTTATTAAGAGATTATTTTCAGTATAAAAAAACTCATTAATGTTTCTCTCTCTCTGCTCAAGAGAGGAGAAAACGAAAATAAAAAATAAAAAACAACTAAAAGTTATTTTTCATTTCTCTATCATTTTACACTAAACAAAAAGATCGTTTTCATTTCTGTTTTTTGTCTTTATTGCGCCAAACGTCGTTTTGAAAACGTTTTCATTTTTTTTTTCTCGAAAAACGTAAAAAATAAAAATACAATCAATTCTAAATAGGGTCATGAGTACTTAACTAATAAATTTATAATTTTCAACAGTTAGATTCGTAATAAATTCTATTAATTTCATATATTTTTATTATTTTAATATTATTTTAATAAGATTTAACGTTCAAAATATATTACCGATAAGGTATTCCTACTGTAGGAGTGTCCGAAAGAAAAATAAAAATTTTTAAAAAGAAGCCATTATGCACATTTATGATCCTTTGTACCTAACGAGTATGCTGCTTTTCCTAAAAACATGTCATATTCATATTTTTCTGCAGCATAAAATTGAGGACGCTTAGATAGATAGTGACGTGGTGTAAAAGTTGAAAATGACAGTTCTGTGATGTTTCACGCTTTGCAACAGACATGCTATCCCACCATTATATATATATATATATATATATAGATGTATATAACATAAAGAAATAAGAATATGTAACATTGACATGAGTAATAATTTAATTCACAGGTCTACTGAATTACGAATTGTATATAGTAGTGCTATTATTGGGATTTTAAGTTTGAATTATATATTAGTTCAAAATGAATGGTATAGAATAATATGATTATTTGAATAATAAATATTTTGAGAAACTATTCCATAGGACGAACTACGAAGGATCAATAATCATTTGCAGATTAATATATTATATATAAGACTGATTTCTCAGATTTTTTACGTACCACATTATAGTTTTGAATGAAGAGATAACTTTTAAGGTCTCATTCGTTTTGTAAATTTAAGTTTTTAATTTGAGTTAATATGTGATATTTTTTTAGAGTTTTTAACTATAGTAAAAAAAATTAAACGTGACATTTTTTAAGAATTTTTAACTGTAAAAATTTAAAATTAAAAACTCGAATCGGTGAAATGAACGAGGCCTAAGTTTTGATGATATTAAGTAATTTGTAAAGAAGATAAAAAAAAAAAGTTAAAAAAAAGTATAAATAGGAATCACGTGTTATGTGCTGATGTTTTCATCACGATATTTCAGAGATCACGTGCTATTGCTAAGATGTTGCAGTAAACTGTAAATAAAGATAACAAGGTAAAAAAGGAGTTTCGTACTTTTCAATAAGCAAAAAAAAAATAAAAATAAAATGTTATTGTGAAATTGGATTTGATTATATAGGCCGAGTAGTATTATGCGTTTGATTTTGGCAAAAAAAAAAAAGTATTATGCGTTTGATTTGCGCATTCAATATACAGTTCATGTGCTTTGCGCAACCTCTTTTCTTAAGCTTGTAATGTCGAATTATATTGCATGCTTCCTTTTTGGCTTTAAAAAAAAACCAAAAACAAAACAAAATACAAAAAAAAAAAAAAGAAGGTGAACAAAAAAAAAAAACTTTATCTTTATATCTTGCAGAGTTCATACATTATATGAACCCGTTCATTTCACTTTTATTTCAGTAAAAAGCTCTTACAAACAATCACATCTAATTTTTTTGTTACAGTAAAAAACTCTCACATAAAATCACATCTCAACTCGAATTAAAAACTACATAATTTTGCATGTACTTTCCGATTAGTAAATATGTGTACGTGAACATGTATATCATTAATAAATGTGTTCGAAAGTTATAAAGTAATTAATTGGAATCTACATCTTGTATATTTGAATAATATGCGGCCAAAACAGAACTTCAGCCTCCATCATATATATAATAATCACTATCTTTTGGTCATAAGCCTAATTAAATACAAAATTGAGTTTCATTTTCATAGTACTTTTAACTTCTATTTTTAATTCATTCAACATTTCATAGTTTTCATTGATTTAACGTCTTATTAATTATTTAAATTAAGAAAAAGAGGTAATAGTTAAGTACTACTTGTGTGGTCACCTAGCTAGCTACCAGAAGGGAAATTAAAAAATACATAAATTATTTTTTCTCTGCTGAGCTGTAGTACTTTCTAGAACATAGCTAGATGACTCACGAGCTTACCAAAGCAATAAGAGAAAGAGATCATTGAATATACAATTTTCATGACTTTGAATGGTTAATGTATTTAAAATTATGATTCAAAATTATTTTTATTTTATATGAGAAAAAAATATTATAAAAAATTATAAATTATAATTTAAAATTAGAGATGAATA